CCACAGGCCCTACGTGCTGTTCTCAGAGAGAAAGATGCGCAATCTCCTCCGCGATTTACAGCCTTGGGAACCCTGTGGAGGGGCAGCTCTGAGCTGGTTCTGACTTGATGGCAATGAGAGTTTTGTTTAAAAAAAAAAATAAATCAGAACTTCCCAGTGGCAACAGGAGAGCCGTAAAGCAGCTTGGAGTCCTATGTGGGCATCTGGCAGGCAGGGGCATGGCCGGGAGGCTGGAAGGGATGGAGAAGGTGGCTGGGTTAGTGACAGAGCAAGAGCCAAGGAGGGACCCTAGGGTCCAGGTGGGGGTAAAGCCTTCCATGGGGGTGGGGGGATCTAGGGCCATGGTCATCTCCTGAGATTAAAGGTGGTGCTGGGATGGAGAGAACAGGGTGTGACAAGTGGAATTCATGCGGAGAAGTGGCTGGAGTTGGGTTCGCATGAGGGGACTGGGCAGTCACACTGAGCAGTGGGAAGAGACCCTGGGTTGGAAACAGGCGAGGGAGGGTTCCTGCGGCCTGCAGGACCTCCCTGAGCAGAAGACGCCTGGTACAGGTATGGTGCTGGGCTGGTACCCAACTTGAGAGGGAAGATGAGAAGTGGGGTGGTCAGAGGGTGGAGGACACAGTGGAAATGGAAGGGCAGGAGGCCTGCTGTCAAAGGAGCAGCCTTTGGAGATTTAGTATCTGGGCCTCGAGAGTATGGGGCAGGCCTGAGAAGAAAGGGTTAAACCTGACGATGCACTTTCCTCCACCTCCTCCTGCCCAAGCTGCAGAAGTTTTCTTACTTTAGACCATTCAGGGCACAGAGACCTCAGCACATTTTCTTCAAGACTGTTAAAGGCCCCTTGCAAAGTTTGTTTATGTACATAGACATTGAATATGGTGTTGTTAGGTGTCATCAAGTCAAGTACGACCCATAGTGACCCTGTGAACCACAGATCTGAACCCTGTCCTATCCTGTGCCATCTTCACACTTTTTGACACTCTACAGCCCATTGCAGCAGTCACCGTGTCAATCCCCCTGGTTGAAGTTCTTCTCCTTCCAACCCTAAGCCTTTCTGAGCATCATGTACCTCTCTAAGGAACAGCAGCTTCTAGCAACATGCTTAAGTATGTGAGGCAAAGCTTTAACATCTTTGCCTCCAAAGAGCACTCTGGCTGCACTTTCTCCAACATATGTTTGTTTGTTACTTTGGCCATCTATGGGATGTCCAAAGCTCTTCTCCAACACTACAGCTTGAAGGCATCAATTCTTCTTTGGTCATCCTTATTCATTGTCCAGCTCTCAGATGCATAGCAAGTAATCAGAAAGACCATGGCCTGAATCAGATGTACCTTGGTCCTCAAACCTGACAGCTTTGCTCTCAATAATTTGGAGAGGTCCCTGCCTGCAGACTTTTCCAGTGCAATACCTCTCTTGATGTCTCTTGATTGCTGGTACCAAGGGTCTTGATTGTGGATCCAAGTAAGATGAAATTGTTGACAGTTTCAATCTTTTCCCCATCTCTCACAATGTTACCTACATATAGTCCTAAGAGTGTACCTAGTTATGATTTAGAATTGGTCTTTGTAGATAATAGAGTTTCTTTTTTTAAAAAAATTTTATTATTTTGTGTGTGTGTACCGTCAAATAGGATCTAACTGGTACAGGAGGAGATTGCCCCTCCTTCACCAGCAGAGCATCTGGTGGATTCGAACTGTGCACCTCTGGGATTGCAGTGCAGCTTTTTGCCACTAGGCCACCAGAGCTCCCTCAACAAATTTTCTTTATACGATTTCTGGGAATAATTGTGTACGCATGTAATGCTGATTTGTGGTAGCCTCAAATTCAACCAAAAATGAGAACACTGAGGTGTCTTTTCTGGACCTTTCTAAACAGATTTCCCCTGTTCTTTCACAAACCTTGTGTGTGGGCCAACTACGACCTTTTCAGGCAGCGTGTTTAGAGAAGGCAAAAAGTTTAAGTAGTAAAAGTAAGGAGAGCTGAGAGTACTGCAGGGATGAGAAGTATCACTAAATTATTATTACTTTTTTTACAGAGTATTCATTAGTTCCCTTCCTTCACGAGACTTGGGCACTGGAGTCTCCCTTCACTCTGGAAGTCGGCTGGCTGACTGGTGGGATGGCTGGCATCTCAATGGCAGCTCGGCTTGGTGGCAGTCAAGGCAAGGGAAGTTTCTGGGGTCCTTTTTGCTCTGTGCTAGGGCTCTTTTTGCCCCTCAAAAGTGAGTGGGCGGCCCTGAGCCTTAAAGTAAGGGGAAGTAAGGGCAGAGCCCGCAGAGCTTGCTCCAGGCGGTAGGTAGCTTAAAATCCTGTAGGGCCCTCGGGCCTGTGGGCATTAGGCCTGTCTTTAATTGTTTTTGGTCAAACATTCTTCTAGGTAGTATAGCCCTGGTGTGTCCACTTAGGTACAGAGGCAACTTGTGGTTGCTGTGACGCTGAACACTGTGACACTAATGTGTCAAATGCGGTAACGGTTGCCCATGGCGGACAGTGTTTGGTGGCGCTCTCCGGTTAAAACAAGCTTGGAAGCAGGAGTGGCACCCACTTTCGTAAATAGCTTGCCTCCGGAAACCCTATGAACCTGGAGAAAGGGTGAAAGTCATGCAGGTGTCAAGGACTTTGGTTCACAGGGTCGCTGTAAGTCACTTAACAACAACAACATTCATTAGTCACTAAATTATTTTAAAACCGCTTATAAAAGCATGTTGTGCAGGGAAACGGAGTTCTGGTTGCTAGTCTTAGCGCCTGGCGGATACTCTAAAGGGTTTGTGGCTCCATCCCATCCACTGACTGGATCGGCCAGTGAGCTGCTAAGGTAGAGTGTTGTTAATGTTGTTATGTACCATAGAGTCTCAACCGACCCATCGTGGAGCCTCCAGAGAATTTTCAGAGGCAGTAAATGTTAATAAATTGGCAGAAGACTGCCCATCTTTCTCCCCTGGGGCAGCTGGTGGATTTGAACTGTACGCCTTAGGGTTGGTAGCACAACTCTTTTTTTTTTTTAATTTATTATTAATTTCAATGAAAATTTACAGAGACTTTGGATTTCCATCCATTCATTGTTCAGAGGCAGTAAATGTTAATAAATTGGCAGAAGACTGCCCATCTTTCTCCCCTGGGGCAGCTGGTGGATTTGAACTGTACGCCTTAGGGTTGGTAGCACAACTCTTTTTTTTTTTAAATTTATTATTAATTTCAATGAAAATTTACAGAGACTTTGGATTTCCATCCATTCATTGTTGTACTTTTCTTCCCTCCTAACCCTCCTTCCTAGTACACTACCCTTTTGGAAAAGTAAAAGAAAAATTCTTTCATTGTTTTACAATCCCTCCCCCCAGGTCCACTCCACTATGCAGCCCTCGCTCTGGACTCCTATCATGACAAAAATACCTAATCACATATCCATTTTAAACAGTTCTCTCTCTCATCTGTTTCAGTGCAGTACAGATTATTGAGCCCATCTTTCTCAGTCTCTCCCCAACCCCGAGGTCAGACCTGTTTCACAACAGTGGCACCATGCAGTTTTTGTCCTTTTGTGAATGAGATACTTCACTCAGTATAATGTCCTCTGGGGTCACCCATTTTGAATAATATTGCATGAGTTCCTTGTTTTTCAATGCAGCATAGTATCCCATTGTGTCAATATACCACAGCTTCTCTATCCATTCGTTTGTTGATGGGCACTTAAGGTTGTTTCCAACTCCTTGCTATTGTGAACAAAGCCGCGATAAACATGGGTGTGCTTGGTAGCACAACTCTTTAGCATTAAATTGTCAGAGCACCCTAAGGTAAAGGCTTGTTGTTATGTACCGTAGAGTCTACATCCTAGAAAATGTCACTAGGTAGTTCTACTCTGTCCCATGGGGTCCCGAGGAAAAGGGTCCATGGACAAGGCAGATAAATATGGTATGCGATTTTCTTTCCTAGTGACACTGAAGAAAATGGGTTCAGAAGAAGAAGTGCGTTATGGGGCCGCTTTATAAAGACGAGGTGTTGAGAAGGGGGGTAAATAATTGGTGAGACCTGTATGAAGGATGAGGGGTCCTGGGAGGTGAGGAGATACAGGGACCTGGGAGGTGGGGAGACAGGAGATCTTGCCACGAGCGGACGGAGGGGGTCGCCCGAGAGCAATGTGGAGACGGTGGGAGACAGCGCGGACAGACTGCAGCAAACCTTCCTGCAGAGACCCCGGCTCGCCACCGCCCCTCTGCATTCCGTGACCTCGTCTCCCCAGGCCTAGTTAGGGTTTTCTGGGACCTAATTCCAGTGTTGCAGTGCGGAGGTTCCAGCATCACCCACCGGGCGCCCCCAGGGACACCTCTGCGCTGGGGACCTGGCGCAGCCCCGCAGGTCCCTCGCCTGGATCCCGCTGGGCTTGTCCAATTTGGGGGAAGAACTACCCAAGTCCCCCACTCTCCTTCCTCCCAGCTCGCGGCCACCACCCCATTTGCTAGCGGGGGCTAGCCCCCTCGTGTCCAAATTTGGGAAACAAGAATCGGGGTGCCACCGCCTCCATCTGGGGTGTTTCCACTTGGGTTGAGTCCTTTCCCAGGTGGAGAAGGGCGAGAAGGACGACCCTGTACTCGGTCTACCCGAGCTTCGTGGGCGCATCCAGGCCCGGGGCCACGCTCGCACGTGTAGCCAGAGGCCGAGTCCAGGCTCCTCGTACGGTGCGGGGCCGCGCGCACGCCGCTCTTCCGCCGGGTCCCCGCGTTCCGGGCAGTGGCGCCCGAGGCCTGGGGGGCGGAG